AATCCAATATCCACATTTTAAAAAAAAAACAGAAGCTCAAACACCATGTAGTCATAACAGTATTAAAAATCAATCCCCAAATGCCTGTTGGAATAAAGCTATTTTCATTGCTCTATGGGATTCAAATAAGATGGACTTCTAGTATATCTCTAATGTAGGGTGTTGTATAACCAGGCAGCTATGATACAGAAGGATTGCCTTAGGCTCTTCGTCCCTTTGCGTTCTAATGAGGACATGACCCTAAAGCAGTGGTCTCCAACCTTGGCAACTTTAAGAACCTATGGACTTCCACTCCTAGAGTTCCTCAGCCAGCTTTGCTGGTTGAGGAACTCTGGGAGTTGAAGTCCACAAGTCTTAAAGTTGCCAAGGTTGGAGACCACTGCCCTAAAGCATCTCCTTCTTGCTTGTGCCCAGGTTGGGCAGAGAGTCTGTAAAGTATCCTTGAACTTAAATATATAAGTCTTTATAAGCCAAAAACAGCATTTTGAATTGGATTTACTCACTGGAGAATTGGCTCTCAACACTAATATTTGTGCCCACTAATACTTCTGGGACCTTGTAAGAGGCAATGGGATGCAGAGTACATTACAAAGCCTATTCATATAGTGATGAGGGCATGGGTCACTGTTGGCAGCACAATTGGGCAAATACCTCTGTGTTCATAGCTTCCATTTCCAGTAGAAGACATAAGTCTAGAAAGACATCCAAAATTCAGAATTGTTCCTTCAATGGGCAAGTAAATTTGTCCAAAGCAATCACCAGAAGCCTGGCTATTTCCGTATTGTTGAGATTCAGATTAATTTTGTTCTTGCTATAGACTTATAGGCCTACACAATCTCAAGACACCAGGTAAGGATTTCCACACCATTTCTGGCATGGCTTGAGGTATTAATGTATAATAGACTATCATGAGTATCTTTCTAGGTCGAGAAACAACTTCTTTCTATTGATTGACACCTCACAGACAGCACACATAATCATGAACACAGTTTTAACTAAACCATATGAAATACAAAAAGGAACTAGAGAAGGATGCCCACTATCTCTTCTCTTATTTATTTTAGTTCTTGAAATACTAAATAGAGATGTAATACAATATGAAAAGATCACAGGTATAAAAATTAAGAATGAATCATAAAAGTTAAGAACTATAGTAGATGATTTAGTTTTGATTTTGGCAGAGACTTTAGAGCAGAACCAATACTAATAGGTGTCTTGGGTGGAACATCATTTGAACACCATCAACATTGACCTAATCATCATCAGTCAACTCCAAATAGCATTTTTACTTGGGACAGCTAACATCCTGCAATGATGCCAATAACACCATTGAACAAGAACATCTGCCTATCCCAGGTCCCTGGGAATTCTGGGAATTGAAGTCCACAGGACTTCAAGTTGCCAAGGTTGAGAAACACTGTCCTAACCACTCATCCCCAACATCAACGAAGTTATTCAAAACAAAACAGCTGCATAACATTCTATGACACAATTAATTAACAGCATACTATTGCATTGTCTCAGGGTAGGCCCAAAAATAGGCTCCTGTCATATTCACTGTTTATTTCTCATTATTTTTATTCTACAGATTTTTTTCATTTCTTTTCATTTCTCAGAAATAAATCAATGGACTTTTCATATTAGCAGCACTCTTGTCACTTCTTTATTCTATAAAGCAACTAGGATTGCCCATCAGATTACAGGGAAATCCTCAGGAAGCACCCTCAGCAAGTCTTCTGGATCCATCAGACACCCAGGGTAGACCATACAAAAGTCTACCACTTTTGCAAAGAAGAAAGGTAATATAAATATAAAGCTTGTACTTTAATTGCTTCACATCTCTGAGGAATTTTCTCAGCTACTACAACAAAAAGGGAATATGTCCAGCTGACCTACTTTTCAAGGCAGCCAGCATATTAGGGAGATAAATTCTCTTTTCTTAATGGGGGAAAACTTTTTGTTATTTGCATTGGGAGGAAATTTTGTGCTGATACCCTTATGCATTTTTAAAAAGATAATTGCAGATTGAGAGGATGGATTTTTTTCTCTGAATTTTAGCATACGAAGAAAAGCTTAAAAGAAATGTGTTATGTTCATGTGGCATGTTGATAGTGGAAATTATTTCATATTACCTGGCAAGGCCTTTTCATTTTAATTGCTATAACATGGTATCTGTAACAGCAGAGTTCACAAGTCCACGAGCCTCTTTCACTGATCCACTTCAGTAGGCAGAGTTGATGTGTATATCTTACAGAGCCATCACAGCGACAAGGATTTAGCAACTCGCCCTAGAAAAAGATTAAAAAATTAAAGAAATATTACACTTTTAAAATTCCCAAATACAACACATTTTTATAAAAAGGTCTCATTGGCTGAATAAATCTATTTTTTCTAATATACAGAAGTAATTCAGATTGCAATCCTTAATTATTAGACAACAGGTAGTCCTCAGCTTATGATTATAATTGAATCCACAATTTAGTATTATTTTTTTTTAGTATTTTTATTAGGATTTATAGGCCGCCCTTTTCCCTGAGGGGACTCAGGGCGNGATCTGATGGGACGAAGGGAGGTAATCGGCAGAAGGCGGTCTCTCAAATAATGACCCAGCTCAAAAGAACAACCATTAAAAGGCAATGTCACATGCAAGATTCTAACCCGAGTCATGAAGAAAGAGCCTGATTTTCAAAGCTCATTTGAATATGGCCAGGGTGGAGGTCAGATATATTTTGAAGAGGAGGAGGATGTTCCAGAGAGCAGTGCAGTGACAGAGAAGACATGTTTCATAAATCCCATCAGCTGGGCCTGATGGGATCTACTAAGTAGATGGGATCTGGGGCATGGCAATTCTGCCCAATTGTGCAAGCCAGGAGAAGTCATGGAAGACAGTCCTTGAAAAACCAAGTTGTATGCCTCGAGAAACTACAGATTTCCTGAATTACATCTGGAAGTCTAATGGTAACTAGTGTAGATCAAGGAGATGTGCCCATAATTGCCCATGTCTCTGTATTCTGGATTAGTTGCAGTTTCATGTATAATGCATTGCAGAATTACAATAATTCCTGGACCACAAGGTCCTATGTTCAATCACTCATGCCCTGGTCACCTCCTTCTTGGATTACTGAAATGGGCTCTACATGGAGCTTCCCTTGAAGACCAAGCTTTAGTTGGTGCAGAATTGGTGGTGTGGACAGTCTGCACCTACATCAGCATGTAATATTTCTCTGCTCCACAAATTGCATTGGCTACCGGTTTTTTTCTGAATTCAAGGTGCTAGTAATTACCTATAAATCCTTACATGGCATAGAACTGGGATATCCTAATCACATCTATCCTATCAGGAAGTAGAAAAAATGTGTTCTATCCACAAAGGAATATCATCTATCAAGACTCAGAAGGAGAGCATTTGATGTCACATTGCCCAGTCTTTGCAACATCACCCCAGCTAAAGTGAGATTGGCTCTGACTTTGTTAGCCTTTTTGGAAGAAACTGAAGACATGGCCTGGGGGTTCAGTGATGTTGGTGAATAGATTGCTAAGTGGTACTGTTAGGAAAATGAATGGTACCATACTCTCCCACAAATCATACGTTTTACAGTTTTAATAGTTTTTATTGTTAATGTTTTAATAATTTTTGTAAACTGCCCAAAGTCAGGAAAGTGAGATAAGCAACTATATAAAACGAATGCATAAATAAATCATGTGGGAGAAGACAAAACCATGAATGACCCTCTTCAATGTCCCCAGTTCTAAGTTAGCCTAAGTTTATAGTTTATTTATTTGTATGCCGCCCTTTTCCCTGAGGGGACTCAGGGCGGCTCACAAGTTAAGGGAAGGGGANTGGGTCCTCATTTTACCCACCTCAGAAGGATGGAAGGCTGAGTCAACCTTGAGCCGGTGAGATTTGAACCTCCGAACTGCAGCTAACAGTCAGCTGAAGTAGCCTGCAGTGCTGCACTCTAACCACTGCACCACCTTGGCTCATTACGCTTCCCTTTTTCCCCTCACAGAAGCCCCCTGAGGGGGGTGGTCCCCTTTCCATCCCGCCAAAAAGCATTGGAGACCCCTTTTCCTCAGAAGTGCTCACCGTACTTCTCGCACCTTTTCCTTCTCGTCTCGACGCTGGTTTACCCCTCTGCATGTTTTAAACCTATTTAAACATGTTTCTCAGCTTGCCTTCAGAAGTTGGCCACTGGAGATTTTTTTAAGAAAAGGCTTGGGGGTCTCTTGCTTCAACAAGGAGTTGGGCTAGAAGACCTCCAAGGTCTCCTTCCAGTCCTATTCTGGTTTCCATGTCCCAGTAGTTCAAATAGGAGGGCTGGCTTCAGAGTAACCTACGACGTTGGTTCAATTACCCTTTAATAATCATAATCTCAAACTCTCAAAAGTCTTGAGTAGAGTAAGAATTCTTCCCCATGAATGAAGGAGAAAGTTATACATTTGTGTCTTCCTGGGCGTTTTTTTTTCTTCCCCATTTTCTCTTAGGAAAATAAGGACACATTAAATATTGAGGGGAGGGGGGGGGAGATCCAAAATGCACAAAGGCAATATTTCTCCGAGTCCAAGTGACGTTTTTAGAAAGTAGCTGCGATGTCATCATAGTTTAAGAACTATGCAGATTCGTTGATTGCATTTATGAACCTCCTCAGTGAAGGATAAAAGCAACAACTGCATTTGAAGAAATCACAAACAGTGGTATAGAATAACAGAAGTACAATGTAATAATTTGATTCATCATCCTCGGGCAGGAAGACCCTGATGTAGATACGCCACTTTCTCCTCCTCAAAATTAGATTATAATGCACATATTCTCTGTCTACCGCTATGTTCTCAGTTTTTCCCACTTTGCCTGATGTACACCCAGTGGAAAAACAATTAACTCAAGAATAGGGGGGAGCTTATCCTCCAACTCACTCAGACTTCAGCTGAATGCCATCTCTGCACAAATATATGACATGTGAATGCCTTCATTGTCAAAAGGAGAATTTTAAAGCAAGCAGCAAATTATTTATTTAAACCATTTGTTCATATATCCTTAAAGAACAATTCCCCCCCCCACCTTATAAATGTATTTTGTTTCCCATTTACATAGTTTAAGGGCTGGTTTATTTATTACATTTATCTTTTATATGTTCATCCAATCAAGACTAGCTCCTGTGGGCTACGAAAACAACAACTGTATCCAAGGAAATAGTAATACCAATAAATAATAATATACAATAACAGAAATACAATATAAAATTAAGTACAAATTATAATTCATATAATATTCCTGGTACCAGAAATTCGAGAGGACTTGTCCAAAAAGCCTTTTGGAACAACCAAGTTTCTACTATCTTTCAGAAGGCCAGAGAATGGATAATACTATTTATTTGAGAAGCCAGCAGTTCCAAAAAGTAGAACCATCACAAAAACTGTTGCTTTAGGCATCCCATCATATTTCTTGATAATTGGGAATTTTCAACAGACATTCTCAGTGTCCCATGACTGGGCAGGCAGAATATATGCAGAATATTTCCTGTATATAATAGGTGGTCTTGAAGATACTCAGGCTCTGACTCATTTAGGGTTTCGGTATCTTTCCCACTGGCTATGTATCAATAGCCAGTGATACTGCAAGGGCAATAGTGGTATGTGACAGTAACAAGACGTATTGGCCATTGCATTATTCACCAACTGAATTTTTCAAGTTGTCTTTCAGGTGGCCCCATGTAAAGCTGATATTCATTTATTTATTTAAAATTTTTCATTTTCATTTCATTTATTTGACATTTATAGGCCGCCCTTTTCCCTGAGGGGACTCAGGGCGGCTTACAATTTGNTAGATAGATAGATAGATAGATAGATAGATAGATAGATAGATAGATAGATAGATAGATAGATAGATAAAGACTACTTGCATAAAATCTAAATGATATGAGATTGGCAACTTTGCTGCATCCCCTAAGCTTTGATCAAAAAGCTAAATAAAGCAGTACATTTACAGATCTTAGTGACTCACAGCTTCCATCCTAGGATGCGAAGTTGCACTTCCTGTTTCAAAGACTTAGAAATATTGTAGGATCTATCTCTTACTATTTATTAGAATAATTAGAAGTTGATATGTGGAGTTGGTATTCTGGTTCATCTACAAGCATGTTTTGAAATATAATGTAAAAAGCGATAGGAAATAAATATAGCATTTCAAATCTGTAATTCTGATTCTTATACAATAAACAATTTAGACACCCTAGCCATATTTAAACACTTTTAATGTTAAATTACTTTAATAGAATTCCACTGCTTCAGTGAGCCTACTCACTGGCCTGATTTATGTATATCACTAAGCTAAAATGTGATTTGGCTAGTTTTGGCTTAGTATGTTGCACAAACTCAGACAAACTGGGTCTTAGTAAGATGCATAAACTCACCCTACTCATAGCTATAAATCTGAGAAAGATGAACTTATGGATGGATAAACCATTAGTTTCATTTAGAAAGAAAATGATTAAAAGTCAGCAGTTTGTCAGGTTTCCGAAAGATGCCCTAATTGATTCATGACCCTCGAGCCAAGTTTCAAAAGAAAACCAGTCATTTATTAGGAATACCATTTCGGTAACACCCCACTGCAGTCAGATCTAACCTCATTTGAATTATGGCTGAACTTTGCCCGTTTCTTCCCTCCCCTCAGTCTGTGTCATAAATCACATTCTCTAATGAGGTGCATGCCTCAGAAGCCTTCTGTAGTCATCTGAGATGAGACACTAGCCGAAGGTAGGTGTAGAATGTGCTCTCCCTCTTTCCTCACCATGGCAACTTGATAACAGACATGCCAATGCTTTATGAGTTGACACAGTTTTATTAAAAACTAGACAATAATCTATGACTGTTCCAGAGATTTCCTTTCTGGATTCTTCAACACTTTCAACAACGGCAGAGCTAATGTACTTGAAAAGTTCTTAGGAATTCAGGAAGATATCCATAGATGTACGTATGTGCTCTGAAGTAGCCTATGTTGATCTGTGTAGTAAAATCAAACATCACGAGTTGAGCACAGAAAACCTTTCATGGCATTTTTCATTATGCCATAAAGTGCTTTTTGTCAATTTTGTGTCGTGGAGTGTTTTATACAATTTGCCAAATTTTATTTAAAGAAAAATCTAAAAAGCAATTCCATGGGAGACATGTCCTCAGTTTTGGATGCATTCCGTAAGTTAGCCCATTTGTGGTACTTTGTTAGAAAAGATTTTGCCTTATGAGGTACAATTTCACCCAGTTAAAGGTTACAGACATGAGAGTTTTAGTAATATACAGATAATGTAGATCAGTGCTGCTTAGTTTTTGAAAAAGTTAATGTTAATGAATCCATTATTCAATCTTTAACATTTGAATGCAACTGAAACGAGACTGTGTTTTTCTTGGGGCTTGTTTAAGATGCAATTGTCTCAAATTTGGGCTAAAGGAAGTCAAATGGGGACTTTTCTTCATTATCTCACCTTATTAGATAGGTTCTAGTCTATCCTAAAAGAGAAATTAATGATAATTCGGCATGTGTTGGTTTTTCCTTCTCAGCATTATCAGAGTTGAGTCTTGATAAAAGTTTAATTTAACTGAAGCAAATGATTTAGGATTTAGATGTACAAAATAAAAGAACTACTATTTACCACCTCTTTTAGAGTACAATTGGTTCCCTTCCCTGGACAATCCCTAGATATTTTTTTTTCAATATTATATGTGCTCCTCAAAGGAGACAATTTGCCCTGGCTTGAATTAAGATGTTACCTATTAGAGAAACCACTGGTATTTGAATGTCTCCCTGATGAAAGCTGTATTTTTTTTCTGTTTAGACAGGAAGAAAGAACCTGTTTGCTTTACCCAGTGACAATTGAACTTAATATTTATAATTGTTAACAATGTTAATTCTGTTGTAACAACGAGGACTGCCATTGTGTGACTGGATTCTTTTAGAACTGGATTCAAGAGTACAAGGATGACAATTGACACGGGGAAACCAAGGCAGTAGAGACTTTGATGCTTCTTCACTATATACAATAAAACTATTTACATTAGATATTTATGACAAGATTCTGGTTTTTACCTAGTTTTAGATTTCTTCTCAACTCTTTTCTAAAGGTTATTTGCGTCTAAATCTTCTCCTAAACTCTTCACTTCTTTTTCCTTCAATTTGTCTGTATTGCCAATTTCTGGAATCATCACAAGATAATTAAAAGAAGCAATGTGCTGGATTTATGAATGAGTGTGGGAACTGCTGTTAATATTGTTTCCTTGGACCTCTTCAGCTGATCATCATCTGCATCTCCTCTCTTAGGAAACGAACTTCTTTTGGGCACCTTTTTTAAATCATTTCTCTAGAAACCAGAGCTTTGTCAAAGAGTCTGATACTCCTCTCACTCGCTCTCCAATTAAACTAGTATGTTGTCCAGCAACTAAGGAGATTATTATCTTCATCCCAGGGATCCAGGAGCCCACACCTACATATACAAGGCCTGACCAACAGCAATGCTGTCTATGTTTGCCCCACAAGAATTCTGGCTAGTAGCCAGGTCAATCCATCAGCCCTTGGGACAGTACATCTATCCTTCAAGGCTAGAATTGAGCTTCTTTTTTTTTCTCTTTCCATTTGCTCACACACCTGAGCACACTTGACAGTTACACCCGATCACATGCCATAATGCCGTTAGTCTTTTTAGTGTGACCATTCTTCCGAAACTTCCAAGAAGATTGTAACATTTCTGTCAATTGCTATAGCTGATAGAAGTTATCTAGTATCTCCGCCATGCTATTATTAACTGTATTTTCTTTTAATACTTTCAGGATTTTCTGTCAATATTTTTCTTCTTTTATGGTATTTATTGTATTTTTGGTCTTTTTCTTGCATTTGGTCTTGGATCATAAAGTAATAATAGTTAAAGAGCAGTTCATAAAGTGGGACCCAGCTCCATGGGTAAATGTGAAATGAACAGATAAAATAAATTAAGTAGGGCAAAGATAGGAATGAAGAATGAAACTTTTTTTTTGTAGCATAAGGGTTCAAAGCCTAATTCAAGGTCATGAACTGATAAATGGAATGTTATGAGAGAATGCTAATGCTATCGATTTTAGAAAAATCCTAGCATTCATTAATGAAAAATAGTATGCAATATGCAATACTTTTAAAGCATTTAAGAAATAATGAATAATGGATGATTTTTCTCAAAAAATTGAATATGATGAGAAAAAACTGTTATTTCATGTCAAAGAAAATCTTTTCATGCTATATTCATACAGAGAAAAGTGATAGGTCTTCATCAAACATCTACAAAATGCCAACAATAGGGGACCTCGTTAATTTCAAGAGAAAGAGTAGTACGAAGAACTAGAGTAGTACGAAGAGTAGATTGAAGAAAACAGCATATCTATCCATGAATTATTATAAAATGATACTTACTCTGTGGCAGTGGGAACTTACAATATAATATCTTCCAATTATCTAGGGACTGAGTAAGTCTGTAACATTGCAAGCATTCTATCAAGCATCCTGGGCCCAAATTACTTAATGCTTTATATGTCATAACTAAAATATGGTTTGATGCTAACTAGCAGCTAGTGCTTCTATAGAAATTTAACATGTTATATGAACAGGCATTCTGTTCAGCAATATAACTGCTATATTATGTCTAGCGGTAACATCCAGATCAAGGGCAAGGATAGTCCTATGAACAGTACATTACAAAAACAAAACACAAGATTGGCAATGGATGCAAACAGTAGCTTGGTTGACTATATTCAGGAAAAGGAATAAATAGCGCATGTGCCACAAAGTTATTTGGACTTTCAACGACAGCTCTGAGTTTATGAGCACATTCAAATGGCGAACAAATTCTTGTTGAGAGATTGCAACCAATTGAGAATTTGGGAACTGCAAACATGGTTTTCCTCTTGTGAAGATTTAATACAACGTTTTTGAGATCATTGGTGTTCATAAAAGCTGTATTTCTCAATAAATCAACCATCATTCTGAGAGAAATATCTGCTGTAGGAAAAATCAGTGGCAAATGCCAATGAGGAACATTATACATTTTATTTAAATAAACCTATTTTAAATTTTTACAAAAGCTGTTTTATCAACACATGGGCATTGAGTTCACAATATTAATTTCTCAACTATACATACGCCAAAAGTTTTGATCCTAATAGGTCAAAATTGTCTGAACATAGAGACAGCCTCTTCAGGAATGAACAGATCACTGACTGGTGGAACTATTCCATTATGTAATACATTTACAACTCTCTGTATCCATTCGAGAAAAGGCAATATATTACAAACATATACTATGAAGAGTGGAAACAATTCCACTCATTTACCCCAGGTGACACATACTAGACACTGTTCAATGCATATCAAAAGCAGTGTTTTAAGGAACATAAAAATACATTATTCCATCCTCAAAATGTCTCACAAATCTGTTACAATGAGTATATGAAGACTCCTACACTGGGCCTTGCACAGTAAATGACAATAAATTTATTTATTTATTTATTTATTTATTTATTTATTTATTTATTTATTTATTTATTTATTTATTTATTAATTATTTGTTGGTTGGTTTGCTTGTTTGTTTGTTTCTGAAGAATTATACCTGGCTACCTGAGAAGACAATGGAGGATACAAAATAAGACTTTTTTTTGCAGCCTTTGTTACCATTGTAGATGCAACTGAATATACTAGAAAAACTCAGTCAATTTCAAGATAAATTTGAACCATATATAATCCAGTTATCTCTTGGCTAGCTTTACTTCAATCTCCAGAAACCCTGAGAGTGTGTTTGTGTGTTAGATTTCATATCGCAATAACACTTAGACTTATATACCGCTTCACAGTGCTTTACAGCCCTCTCTAAACAGTTTACTGAATCAGCATATTGCCCCCAACAATCTGGCTCCCCATTTTACTGACCTCAGAAAGATGGAGGGCTGAGTCAACCTTGAGCTGGTGAGGATTGAACTGCTGAACTGCTGACAGCCGTCAATCAGCAGAAGTGGTTTGCATTACTCCATTCTAATCACTGCGCCCCACAGCTCTTCAACATTGTCAAAGAGGACATTTAGTGATTGTCTCAATGGCTCTTTCATGGTCCAGCTACATATATAAAAATCCTAAGGAAATGAACCTCTTAGAAGCTGAGGAACCTAGTGTAACACGAGGCAAGGGATACGGGTCTTTACATTCCTGATCTAATTGTAGAAAAGGCAAGTTCATCTAGGATTGGGAACAAGATCAGATCTGGATTAAAATATAATAGATTGAAAGCTGGAACTGAAGCCAAAGGTTTGCAGAGTCCAAACCTAATTTATCAGGCCTATAAGGAGATGTCCCTGGATGGGATGAGAAAGTTACTCTGCCAATGGCACCATTTCCAAAATTGTACTTTTCCTGACTCTTGGATGAAATGTGACATCTGCTACACTTGAACCTGATATTTTTGGTACTTCTTGCTGAAACTTTAATTCTTATCGTGAGTTAGAAACATCACTACTGCTTGGTTCCCTGTTATCTTCAGGTTGATGTCCAATTTAAAGCCATTAATATATGTGATTTACAACTCACTTGTTTGCAATTCATTGAATTGAATTCAGCTTTGAAAGGCCCTTCTGTTTTCTCGGTCCATATATCATCAGGAACATTAATGGAATAACTGATACTTGCTTCAGGAAAATACTTGGAAATTGGAAATTCAAGAATCTATCAGATTTCATAAACTTCTGGAGTCAGGTCAATCTTAATACATCCTCCTCCAGAATGTGGGAGAATGAAACTATGCAATGAAATTTCATCAGGTGGTAATCTAAGCATATACTAACTTCCTTAATATCCATGCAGGAAAAAAACTACATCTAAGGGGTACACATCCCCAAAACTGTGAAAACTTGCCACAAAATTATACTTTTTACGGTGGCGTTGGGAAAGCAATAATGTTAGCTGTGCTAAATTACTTTGATCTAAAATTTACCTTCAAATTAAATCGATTTTTATTTTAGTCCTGGTCTAGCTGTTTTGGGATGTAATTTCTGCTATACGTAAGTGTAGTTCTTGATTCGAATGAAGGTACATCCAGATCTAGGCTGCACTCAAACTGATACCCCCTCATAAAAATTAACACAGGCCAAGTAATAAATGTATTACAACACACACGTATTGCAGTGTTATTAAGTATGCAAAAGAAGGCTGTTATAAGATGATAGTTTACAATTTATGCTGATCTAAGCCACCTATTTATTTAAGCGAATTGTCTAAGTTATCTTGACCGAAAGGCATTCAACCCTGTTAACATTCTCTAGATGCTGCAGCGGCGTGCCAGAAAACAGCTAATGGTTAATTAATAACCGATTCCTTGACCTGCAGATGTATTAGCAAGCCTCTATGCAACTTGTCATTGTAACAATGACAATGCCCTTGTGATCTCTAGACTGGACTACCGCAACGTGCTCTACATGGGGCAGCCCTTGAAGAGTATTCGNAGTATATAAGTCTAACTGCTATTGCTATTGCTATTTCAATAGCACATCAAAAAGAATGCCATGGGAACAGCAGTTTTTCATGTCAAATATTTTCCTTCTGTTTCAGAGACATGAGATAACATATCATTCACGGGGTGAGAAAGAGTCCTTAGATCATTGTAAAAGGAATTAGATGAGACCAGTTACTAAGTCTGATATCTACTAGTTATTTCTAGGAGAACAACATCAACAAGGGAATGTTGTGTGAGGACATCATAACTTTTATTATGTTTGTAATCTGGGAATCGCTATCATAAAAAAGAGTATCATAGCTTTATTTGTAAAGAGGCTGTCCCTAAATTACTTGGTCTATGTCCATTTGTAGTGGTAAAATTAATGCTACTGTTGAACTGGATGCCAATGAAATTAGCACAACACAGGGTTTTAATTCAGGATACTTTATGTTGCTTATTAATCATTTTTCTTCCTTTCCAAGATTTTGCATTGATGTTCATGATACATTGCTAAACTGATGCTTTAAAAATCATTATTTTAGTTGGCTGAATGCATGGTGTTATTTAGTATAAGAAGCTATTATATTTATAAGTAATCATACATTGCTGTATCAACTTTTTCAGGTTAGCTTTTTTTTAGAAGGAAATTACATATTTAGAGCTTTATCCACATTTCATTTGAGTTAGATATAAACAGTTCTGTGTTCATTTTTACAGATGATCATTCCAGAGTAACTTTAATGCAAATGGATGGATTTCAGTGTTCAGACTATATTAATGCTTCATATATAGATGTAAGTGAAATCATTTTCTTTTTCAATTACTTATTTTCCCAAAACAACTACATGTTTTTAAAAGCATCTTTAATGTATATTCTTATAAAAATAACACACTTTTTTTAAATTTTCTCCTAGGGCTTCAAGGAAAAGAATAAATTTATAGCTGCTCAAGGTATCTTTTGGATTTTGTTGTTTGACAATTTAACAATTTCAGAAATATTTAGTTTAGTCTAAAGTAAGATTTTAAGGAATTTGTGGATTGGTTTTATTTAATCTAAGGTTAATGTGTATGCCAAAACATGTAAGTGTTTTTCTGAAGAGTCTTTAGGTTGAATAAGAACTTACCAAGAACTGATTTGGAGAAAAAAAAGTGGTGCTTAGTATCAGAGGAAAAGGGGGAAGTGTGACAACTCTCTTGACTTAACTCTTTATATGACATTGGGATTAAAAATTAGATCTATACAGAGCCAAGGAAGAGTTAGTAGAGATCAGTTCATGTCTATGTGCATGTATCTTTAAGTCAATGTTGACTCATCGGTGACTGCCTAGACAAGTCCGTGTAGTTTTCTGGCTTCCTGTTGAAAATAGGACTAAAACCCAGTCTCAAGTTTCTAGCCTGTTTCGTTAACTACTAACAAACTGGCTCTTTATAGTAATTATTAGAAAGCAAAAATGAAAAGTTTGGATTAGGGTTAAACTTTAACATGGCTAATATAATTTCATCACCATGTTTAGCAAAGTTATAGTTTACAGGAAAACAATGAAAGTGGAGACTTTTCGGGGAGCCAGGGGAAGGTCCTAGATAAACAGGAAAATGGCAACATATTTGAATATTTAATGCAATGTATATAATCAATTGTCCATGGAGTGTCACTTTTGGTACATTGTCTGTGCACGTGTGTATTTAATCTGATTTTCCAATTTGAAAACATGTACACAAGGGATTGATGAAGNACCCTGAGCCGGTGAGATTTGAACAGCCGAACTGCAGAATTGCAGTCAGCTGAAGTAGCCTGCAGTGCTGCATTTAACCACTGCGCCACCTCGGCGCAGTGGTTAAATGTCCTTCAGGGGTTGGGGAATGTTCCTTCAAAGGGAAAGGCTGCTTCTACACCTTTTAAAAAGAATGTTCCTTTTTAAAAAATCAATATATTGTCCATGCCTCCATAGCTGACATTTCCTGCCAATTGCAGTCAATAAAAACATTTTTAAAGTTATCCATCTAGCTGTCTGAATATTGATAGGATGGCCCTTGTGGAGAAAGGAGGAAGGAGACCGGCCAGAGTGGAGGGGAGCAGGGGTGGGCTTCAAAATTTTTAGCAAGGGGTTCTCTGCCCAGTTGCTGGGTGGGTGTGGCTATGGTGGGTGTGGCCTAGTCAGCCTCCTGCACTACAGTGTGTGTGTGTGTGGGTGCTGTTGAGCCTCCGGGAGGGCGAAAACGGCCTCTCCAGGCTCTGGAGGCCCTCTGGAGGCTGGAAATGAACCAGTGTCTGGGTTTCCCGAACTTCCAATAGGCCCATTTTTCGCCTTCCCCGAGCCTCTGCCCGTGCCATGCACTTACCTGCATCCAAAACAGGCCATGTGGAGACTCCTGGGGGGGGCGAGGTGTGGTGGGTGGGGCCAGCCAGGATTTTACTTTTAATTGGACTGCGCATGCGCAAAGCAAGCAAACGAGTGAACCGTCAGTACTGGCAGCCAGAACACCGCGCCCCTTGCTTCATTCCCACATTGCACTTAAACCATGGTTTGTTTCTGGTTAGCCCAAAGTGGGAACCAGTCCTGGTGACTATTTGTGAATATAGAGTCAAGAATTATCGTCACAGGGATCCCTGCAGGCTTCTTTGCAGATCTATGAGATCCGCTTCGAGGCCATGGGATTCTCAATCCCTCTTTGCAGCCACGGATTCAGCAACTCTCTGGGATCCCTTCCTTTCCCCCCAAGAGTCTCCCCTGCAGAGGAAGGCAGAAAGAAATCTGGAAGGATATCCATCCCTCCAATTTTTCTGCAATTCCTTCTTTTCTGGGTCTCCCTTGGGATCCTCTGCTGGCCTTTCCGGGTTCCCTTGTCCTGGGGAGGTTCAGGGACTCTGTCCCTGGGGGGCAGGGGGAATGCCGGGATGCAGATCGAGAGAGGGGAGAAGGCGGTTAGTGATGAGGGCTTTCTTTCCCTTGAAGGCTAGAGAGGAAATGGGGGTGTCAGTGCCTCTGTCAAAGTCCCTGCAGAGAGGGACTCCTAACCATTATCTTGTCCCTGTTTCAGGCCTTCACACGTTCCAGAGGATGTATGGCTGTGAGCTCCTTGCAGACGGGAGCAAAAGAGGGTTTCTCCAGTATGGCTACGAAGGGAGGACCTTCATCACTTTCGACAAGGAGACCCTCACCTGGGTGGCTCCCGACCCCCAGGCCCAGATCGCCCGGAGGAAATGGGATGCTATTCCAGGAAAGAATCAGGGACATAAGTTTTACCTGGAGGAGGAATGCATTCAGTGGCTGGAGAAGTACCTGTCCTACGGGAATGAGACACTCCTGAGGACAGGTGAGCATCTGGATCCAGGCTGGACTTTCCTCCGTTAGGGCTGGATTTCTTGGATGCATTTGGTCCCTTTGGCTCCATTGTCTTGGATGCCTGGATGCCCAGGAGGGAATCTCCTTCCAGCACCTCTCTAGCACACGGGAAGCCCTGTTTGGTTTTGGAGTAGTGGGAGACTTTCCTGCCCCTCCCAAGTTTCTCATCCACCTTCCAGGCTCTGGAGGGTCTCGGAGTTAATTCTGGGGGTTTCTGCAGAGCCTCCAGTGGTGACAATGAGCAGCCGGACGGAGGTGGAGGATGGGATGGAGACGCACATCTGCCGCGTGGATGGCTTCTACCCCAGGGACATCGATGCCTCCTGGAGGAGGGATGGGGAAGAATGGTTGGAAGAGACCTTCCATGGGTCTGTGGCCCCCAATGCGGATGGGACCTACCATTACTGGCTCAGCATCAGGATTGACCCCAAAGAGAGGAGCCACTATCGGTGCCACGTGGAGCATGACGGCCTGCAGGAGCCTCTGGACTTGGAGCTAAAGGGTAAGAGCTGCAGGGAGGGGAAGGCTGGGCTCTCTGGCAGGCTGGAGGGTGGTGGGAGAGAAATCTGACCCCAGCTGTGTCCAGATGTGGTCATAGCTGAGCTTTCATCCATTGGTCCTTCCAGTGTTCGAGGCTGGAGAAGCTG